ATATTTTATCGAGTCGAAATGAAATGATGTTATCACGATTGAGCACGGTGAGTCGGATTTTAGTTGATTAATTTAATTGCCACGTTATTTTTATATAATAAATGCCTCGTTTTAATACTCAAATTATTGCACAGTATGTTATATGATATACTGTGAATTGTATTATTTATATTACATTGTAAATGCGCATTTACGATGTAATATAAATAATAAATTATAAATACTATAAATTCTTGAATTTATAGGCAGCGTAATTTGTGTTTAAAATTACCCATTTACGCAAGATATACAAGATATGATGGAATACATAAATAAACATTATAAAATTGTTGCACATCTAAAGGGATTAAAACGAGAGTCAGTATAGAAAAATGAAATAAATATAATTATGAAATGAACGAAAAGATAAAATTGTATCGAAAATTTATATTTTTAAATACGAGTTGGAAAATTTAACGAGGTTTCGTTTCGTTGCGACGATAATAAATATCTAGATTCTCGTAAGAAATAAATAACGCAGAAGAAAGGAATAATAAATAACGGAGGGCGAAGGTATTAATTCCGAGGACGTTCGCGATGAAACGTGGTTTCGACTCGTGAAATTTTCGTACACACGGAGCTCGTGATCGTAAATATCGTTTATTAAACGACGAGTTAAAATTTCACGGTGCTTTACAACGGCCGCGTAACGCGTGAAAATTATGTAATAGGAGATCAATTTTCCGGCTTTTGCATGTCACGTCGCACGATCGTCAGACGGTTTATCGTATCCATTTTTTTCATGAAAATTTCATGCCCTTGCGATGAAAGGGTTGCGACTAGGAGAGACTCTTGACTGGATCTTTAATTGGAAATTCGTATGGTGATGAAAAAGTGTCTTTAGTTGGAATTAATGTTATTAATTTAGTTTAGATTTAAATCAATTCTAATCAAAATTAGATTGTAGTAAGGTTGAGGATGAGAATATACTTGTAATTGTGGGATATTCTTTTTTCTTTTTTATCACGATATAAGTTATTTATAAATAGCTAATTTTTATTCGTTGAAAAATTTTTGTAAGACGCATATAACTTTAATTCATCAATCAATCATTATTAATCAGGGACATTTTATTCTTTTCAATTAAAATTTCTGTTTAGCATTTTATAATTTCAGGATATGATATTTTAAGTAAATTTTTCAACTTTTAAAAAGTCTATATGCTTTTTAAGGATTTTGTCTAATGAGGATATATCATTAATCACGAAAACTTCAATTTTCATGAATATATACCTATCTCGAAATGACAGATATTATAATAAAAGAATGAAGAACATGAACTTCAAACAACTTTCTAAACCCTTAAATACAAGATCACCAGTTATTTTAATCCTTTGTGCTTGTGACTCTCAATCATCTCGGTTCGATGCGATAACTCCAAAGGTGACTCTCGAGCACCACTTGGATCGATGCGATAATTCGAATGGCGACAATATTTATTTATGTTTGATTTTTTAAAATATCGCTTCACGAATAGATTCATAAGTTCTTTACATATAATGTAAATGAATGAAATGTAAATGAATGAAATATAAATGAATGAATGGTAATGAAATTGGTTTCAAGTGGAGATGAGTTTGATTTTTCGTTATTAAATAACGAAATGATTTCTATTCATTAAAAAATTGACGATAGAGAGAAGGAAAATAATAATGAAAATTGAGATGTTGTAAGAGAAGGTGAAAAATAATAGACTGTGAACTTAAGAACAAATTATTGATATATTAAGTTCAAGATGAATTTTGCGTTATTAAATAATGAAATAATTTCTAATTTATTAAGAAATTGACAATAGAGAGAAGGAAAATAGAGAGAGTATGTTATTGGAAGATTTGTAACGATATTTTATTGTAATATTTGCCCTGACAAACCAAGGATGCTTCTTAATAATTACTTTATTATTAAAATATCACACAACAATATAGATTTTTAATATTCAACAATTCAATATTCAATAAATTATCTTTCTTTATATGTAAAGATAAATAAAATATTAAAATACAAATGTTTTATACGTTAATTTGTGCGTGAAATCATTTCAAATTAACTAAGAATTTCACCCCGAACGGGTGCAGGAAATCGTCTGAAGTTGTTACTTAGCGAAAAGACCTGGAGTGCAAAGGGTTAACATTGAATCGTTACCTGTTAATACAAAATTGAATCCATAAAAGTTAGATCCTTCAAAGTTTTTCTTTGATAATTCATCGATAAATTGAAGTTACGCGCGTCTTACAAAAACGGTTTGATTAATTATTATCACCAAAAGTTATTCGCTCCATCCACCCTTCCACCGCCAAAACCACGAGAGACCAATAATCCTCGTAACTCCGCCGTTCAACTTCGACAACAATGATCAGATGAATCATCGTGAGACGAACAGAGACGATCGTTACCCACGCGAAGATCAAGCACGGTTGATGCATGCTTACAAGTTCACCCTGGCGTGGAGAAAAGGTGTTAAAACATAGCGAAGGAAAAAGGGGAATCGTTAACAGTTGGGCGCGCCCATCGCGTTACGTCACTTCCTTCGACTTTGCCAGCTTTAAGCAGTCAGAAGACCGTCTCAGACAGGGATTAGGCGTTCACAGGGTTTCTATAAATAATGCAACGTTTAACCTCGCTTGAGGGATCGGTTTTGTATCCCCGCCACTCGAGAACGACGTTTTAAAGTCGCCATGCAAATGATCGAACACGGCCGTATTCGTGGATTATCGCGGAGTCAAGCCTTCACCCGGCTGAATTTAGATTTACTTATACTTTCAGTTGAGATTAGCCTTAGTTACGGTGAAAGTTTGTTTGAAAGCGAGTACAAAATGTATTTACATGTATTTACCCTATTTTTCTAACGAAAAGATCTTTCATCGTGATCTACACTTCTCAAGTAGCATCATAAAATATAAAAGTATCGATAAAATTTTATATTAGAATTTTTAGTTGCGTGATTTAGTTTTATCAAACGATACGTAATGTAATATTTGGATCCAATTAATATTTTTTGAACATATAGATAATCAAACGTATAATAGGAAATTATTTAATTTTCGATTACGTTCAAACTTAATAAAAATACAAATACAATCTAAGCGTTGGAAATACATTTTTATCGATTATTTGAAAAACTAAGATCAAGTATCGATTGTATATTTCTAAACATAAAAAGTGTACGAAAATACATAAATCTGTCACTAGCAAAGTTTCGAAACAATAAAGATAATCCGATAGTCTAAATATGCATCTCGATATGATTATCGTTCACCGATTCAACCCTGGAAGAAGTTGATCCCGCAGGATCTTCCGGGGATGTCGCAACAACGTCTGTCAGTTCACCCCTCGACAAACCCTTTGCAAGAAGGGATTGGAAGGGCGTGCATCAATATTAATGGAGGCACGTGGCGTTCGGGAATAATGTAGTTGGCTGAAAGTCGCCGACCCGTGTACGCACGATATCGTAACCATAATGTTCTCGCTTAGATCGGTTACGACACGTAATTTCAATCACGTTCATCGCATTACCGCGGTCATTACATGGTCGTGTAAAATCGAACCGCCTTGGAGCGTGATAGAATAGTGGATGGAATGTGGTTGTTGTTCGAAGTTAAGACGTTTTATTTGTTTTTGTAAAAGATTCGAAGAAATTGGAATTCACGTGTTCTTGAAACGATTCGTCACGATTTCTCTTAACCAGGATCGTGATAGATCTATGTGTGTTGATTTTCTGATTTTCATATCGTTTAAAAAATGGTTGAAAATTAATATTTTTCAAACATCTCAATCGTTATCGAGGGTGAGAAAATGAATTTCTTTAAAAATTATATTATTGCTAGAAATATAGATTTATAATATGTATTTTGACGTGGATATTATTACACAGGTAATTAGGATTAAATTTTTCAAATACATTTCAAAAATTTGAATTCGATCAGTTTGATAGTTTTTAAAGTTAAGATTAAATAAAAAGGGTTGACAATTTTTATATCGTACAATCATTATGAAAATTTAGTATATTTTTATTTTAGAAAATTTTCTTATTTAGAAAAGAATTTCTCCAAATAATAATAGTCTCTTCAAATATTCGTAAAAATTTTACCTTCAAATATCGTGAAATTCTATTTCTTAAATAATCTTCAAGGAATAAATCGAAAATATCGAGTCGTTTTCCGCGGGAATATTTCATTTCTGAAATCTGGTTAAAGGAAAACACGATAAGATTCGACGATAAGCCATCTCCCGTAGTCGTCAAGAATTTCGATTGGCCCTATTTCGACGCTTCCTGACCGAATTATAAGAAAGAAGAGAATTCAAATTTAATCACGCCTCCGCTGTTCCACCACGCACAGGAAGTGGCATTATTAGCTTTCGAATCGAACCAATCGAGCCGTTTCCTTATTAAACCCCGCGGCATCCCCTGCTCACAGCTTTTCCATCATACGAATCCATGAAATCATCCCGATTCTCGTCTCTCCCCCTTTTTTTTTCTACATCTACATTTCCGAGGGAAAATTTCACTCGCCCCTCCCCCTTCGCGTAATTCCTCGCGAACTGGTAATTCTCGATCGGGATATTCGACCATCTCACGTTGAGCATATCGATAATATCACGGGAAGTGATCTTGTAGGGCAGTGGCTCTCAACTTGGGGATAGGCGGTAAGAATTATTATTAGGAAGTGAGATTAAGATTCATAAAATCTTAACAATTATTTTTTTAAAAATAGATGATAAAGCATTGGGTGTGATTTGACACTTGTATTTGTCAAATACAATCTCTTCTTTGTTGTACAATTGATATTTATAGATTTATTTATTAATATGTGATGTACACTCGAAAGAAGAAACTAGAAAAAATTGTGAATCGTTGTCGTGAATGGTTTCAATCATTTTTAAACAATTGTTCTTCGATTGAAATTGTCATAGATATGATGATGTTTGGTATTGAAAAATGAAAGAATATTTTGATGACATACCCGTTAGTTGTTGCGTCAAAGACATCGTTATAATCTTCATCAGTGGTATAGTCTTGTACATCTGGATCCAGATTTTCTACATCGCCATTTCCACCTGTGAAAAGAGCATTTCTTTATAATTACCCGTATTAATTTGTTAAAATTAAGTTCCACATTAAATGCAAATGTATTTTTAAATTTCTATATATATATATATATATACACACATACATATCTATATATTTATTACACAATTTTGATAAGCAATAAATGAATCTATCGCTTAAAAATGAATTACTTTTTAAAATTGAGAATTAATGAAATCAAATATATACATCAAAGTGCACACATAAGGATTAATCTTAACAGCAACTCCTTAACAATAATGTTGCATCAAAACCTGGACGTTTCAAAATCATCGATCGCCAGAGAATGTTCACTGTAACTAAACCTAGTTTTTAGTGAAACAACTCCCTTGGTAGGCCTCAAGATCGATCCATCGCGTAAGCACCTCGCCACAAGCACGCCAGCCACACTCTCGAGTTGTCCGACTACGTAACAATGAAACAGGCCGAGAACAACGTTGCTATTCGATGTTTCGTACACCTGCGCAAATACCACGTGAACAATCGTTCCTCAACCCTTTCGTGGAACCTCAATGATGATATTTATCGAAACGTGATCAGATTCTTTCTTCACGTCAATTTTAAGCAGCCAATTTTATCAATTTTTCGATATATATATAAGCTTGATTAAGCATTCTATTAAAATAAAAAGACTGTTGAGATGTTTTGATAATTAGATGTCTCGTTTAAAAGTCTTTAGAAAATATATACAGTATATTTTGCGCCGTATACTGTTTTGTGTGGAAGTTTTAAAAGGGTGTTCACGAGTGAAGTTTATTGAAAAAGTTTAGAACAATCCCTCGTCTTAGTATCGAATCACACTCGTGGAAGGGATTATGGGTTCCGATTGAAGGATAAAGAAAAGTTTTAATTCTGAAAAGGTTTAGTGTCAATTCTGTGTTTTTAGATTGAAAATTATTAAGAGTTGTGAAAAGGCTTCATTTCAGGTGAAATTTCAGGTTAAGCAAAAATGATTGTTTTTGTATGATTCAATATTCATAAAGTTCGTAAAAGGTGTATTTATAGTAAATAATTAAATTTTAAATTGAAATATAAATAATAAGACTGTTCACATTATTCGATATTTAGAATTAAAGAAATTAGAGATCAATTTTTCAATGTTTATAATTATTATTAATGCATCACGATATTCAAATTTCATGAATACATTTGTAGGATCATTTAAGAGATCATCAATCTTGACCGAAGCATCATCATATAATACGTGCACACAATTTCTTGTTTAACCCCCCCATGATCTCTAAACCAAACTCGATACAGTGGCTTAGGGAATGAGACATCACAGAATAATCTGGATTATAATGTAATTTATCGCGAAACGATCTGTATCTCCCCATAATCTCTGATCTCGTAATCTAAATCACGTTGTGATCCCTAACCAATGTGCACTGCGTGCAATAATCTACAAATACCTAACCAATGTGTAAATTCGAACTTCCATAAATCAATATTCATCAATTCCTCCCACCTCGATTATTTCGAACAAAATTTAAATCTCTCCTCTATTTCAATCGTGAATTTCACGCGATTTTAATATGGCGTAATATCCTCGACTCTATAGCGAATTTCAATTTCAACATTGTTGCATGACAGTGCATGCTAATTCACTAATGCGATTCGGCGTGAGGCGTTTTAATACATGAAATCATGGAGAATTCATGGTTCAACTTGGACGATCCGTGGCCAGGCATGAGGCCAAGTTATTAAATAATCGAGCGAATTATACCCATATCTAAGGGTTGCATCCCTTGGTTCCCTCGGCCACGTCAGCCGATCAGGTGCCAAGTGCAAATTTAAACTTGCAACGCGATGCCTCTTCTACCCTGAAAGGATGGAAATGCTTCTTCTTCTTTTGCAAGATTGATTATAAGGGATCTTTATTGATTCTAAGTAAGGGATTCGAAGAGTCATAGTAAAAGTAGCATAATTAAATAGTGAAATAATTTTAGACGAAATGACTTTGAATGCTACAAGATTATCGCATCGAATTGAAGATTCACGGTTTGAAAATTTTGCTTGAATATCGATCTTAACTAAAATCAGATTTTTTAAATCTTTTTCTTTTTCTAAACGTGCTTATAAATGAGTATAACGAGATTAAAATTTTCATTCATAAGAAGAAACAAATTTTAAAAAATTATAAAAAAATTAGCAATAATATTCAAAACTTTCCATATCATCTATTTACATACACGCATATCATCATAACGAAAACTCCAGTTTTTAATTATTAATACAGAAACAACCATCTTTTTTTACTAGACATAAAATTTAAATAAACTTCCAATACGAAATTTTGACGCGATATTCTTATATATTCTTATGTTCCGTACAACGATTGAAAACATTACATATAAAAAAATTACACTCCATCGGGGATAAAATCTTTTCAATCCCATCATTTATCTTTACAAAAACTCATTGCAGAGGAATTGCCCAACAAATCTTTACAACGGTAAGCTTGAACCATGATTTTAACCAGCGACACTGGTTCCGAAATTTCGCGTATTCACCGCTAATCCTCGAATCTGGTTTCTGTTTTTGAACACGGTCGAGGCGACAGAGGTAGCTCATAAAAAGCAGGCACACATACCGTGGGTATGATAGACGGGGGAGGGATGGAAAAACGCGTACGATTCCCCGGAGTGTAACACGCATCCAGAGGAGGGCCAATAAAATCGAACGCCATTGTACTCCCAGCGTTTTCTTTTTGTTTGCATTTATTTGCCTTCATTCCACCACTCCCTCCCAGTTGTTCCGCTATTGTTCCTCCATGAAAGCGGAGTATTTTCAGAGAGTTAAATGGACAATATATACAGATAGGTGGGGTGGGGAGGGGGTGGCAGGGGGCAACAGGCCGTCGAATTGCAACGAAATGAGGATTTAATTTTGCGAAAATGGTGTTTTGCTTTTTTGTTTCGATAGCGATACCCTTTGTACCCCGGTGAATGTAAATTGTAATCGGATGATCGGACGAGGGAATTGAATTTTTGCGAGGTTCTGCGCGTTACAGTATCCTTCAAAAGTTTGGGTTTGGGATTCGTGCGATTTGAAAGGGAGTGAAATTAAATTTTTTTTTTTTTTTTCGATATGGATCGTGCGGGCATTTTGGAGAAATCGTGAATCGAATAAGTTGGTTTCGATTTTCTGAATATATATTTTTTAAATGTACAAAACAAAATGTGATACGTTGATTGAAAAACGATTTGTCGAAGAAAGATTCTTATATTGAGCTATTGATAGATGTATTTAACAATAAAGAGTATTAAAATCCTTAAAAATGTTTGCTGCTAATTTTATAAAATAAAAAAGTATTTCTTTTCCCATCATCGTTATTTTAGGATTAACGAAGAAAGGAAAGTAATGAGGTATTAAAGAGAAGAGTTTTGCACAGTGATACACGCGTACGTAATAAATCCATCTCTTTAATTCTATATTTACAACTAAAACAAACTCAACAAACATTTATAGAGCCCAATCATATGTACCCAGCACTTCAAAGAGTTGACGAGAACTCAGTTACATCAGGACGTTTTTATTATTCATCGGTGGAAGCTGGTTACATTTTTCCCATTCCCCCCTCTCTCTCTCTCTCTCTCTCTCTTTTTATTCGTCGAATTTTGTTCATTCCAGGCGTACGTGGCCGGCATTTAAATCGCCGGAAAATGCCACGGATTCGATGGCCAGAAGTCTGGTGACATCGATAACGAGCCTTTATCTATACAGGGTGGGTATAACTGAAATGAAATAGAATAGAGATAAACTGATGATGATGAAAAGTAAAATAATTAAACGAAAAGATAAAATTAATTAGAAGTTAAGCTTGGTTCATACATCAATATTTTAATATCGTTTTAACCATTTGTGTCGTTTATAATTATATCGACACCTATTATATTCTTAATAACCGACGTATAACGTGATTTATTCAAAATAGTTATAAAGACAGAAGGACATATAAGGGACATATATGGAAATTTAATTATTTAACAATCATTTGTTATTTCACAGTCGAATTCAAGAAATAAATATAGTCACAGTAGTCAATAATTTTTAAAATATCATCGATCCTGGATCAATTATCGATCAAATTTTCGATTCGCAGGGATAATTAAATAGTATCTACGAGACTCTACAATCCTACGAAAACAGAAAATTAATAGGGTAAAGTAATGGTCAGTCAGTTGAATTATCGAACACCCCGTATAACATTTGGAGCGCGCGTTTTTCAAGCTGGCGGACTGATGTGTGAGCAATTCGTTTTGAGAGCGTAAAAACGCATTTCCGCCCGGGTTTTTCACGTTGGCCGATTTGAGATTATTTAAAACGCTCCGCGACTCGGTTTTTCGCCGTCGTTGCGCCCTGTTATTGTCGCGTTAATACTTCCCGCTTTGCTGCGACGCCTGATCACTCCTCTTCTCCCAGGGGTGAATTTATTTTCAACTCGTCTGCTTTCGATCCTCGTCGATCATGTTGCACAGTTTAATTCAGGATCAACGAAATTTCTGTATGTATTTTCCATATTTTATTCGCGATTCGTATTCCACGTTGGTGGAAAAAATTTTATTTGTATTTTAATCGTTAGGCATAGTGAAAGGAATTTTTAAAATTTTATTTCAAATGGGGATAAATTGAAAAATATATTTTAAAAATTTATATTAACAATTAATTGATATTTTCATAATACACAAATTGAATAATTAAGTTGATCCAATTTAAAATTAATACGTTTAATATATTTTTTCATCGCATCCCCCAAAAATAATATCCCCTGAATAAATAATTAAATGATTTTGCCAAAAAACTGGCAATAAATCAATTAAATATACTCTTTATTTAACTCAAATTTCGATTACTTACAAATAAGTCATTACATATTTACCTCATCGATACATTAATATCTCGTATAACAAACATACAATCTAATCTCCAAACTAAAAACTAATCTCAAATTTGCACAATTCATTCC